CTTTCTAACCATAAAGGAATAGTTGCTTTTTGTTTGGGCTCATCTTCTGGGACTCCTTTTAAATCAAACTGCAAGTGGGTGGTTTTGTGGTATAGATAAAAGCCTGGAAGGGGCTTGTCAAAAAAAAACACAGCATCTGAGATTGTTGACTACTGTAAACAGTATGTGACTCGTGTCTCTAGAGATATAAAGTAAATGTGTTATTAGCAGTATGACTTATGGAACCAAATTTCCAACAAAATATAAGGAAAAATGCAGTTTTAAAAGGCCAAACTCAGGGGTGCCTGGGGGGCTCAGTCGCTTCAGCAGCCGACTCTTGATACCAGCTCAGGTCTAGAGATCAGGGTCGTGAGTTCAAGCCCTGTGTTGGGCTCCACGCTGGGCGTGGAGCCTACTTAAAATATAAATAAATAAACAAATAAAAATTAAAAAAAAAAATGAAAGGCCAAACTCATTTTGTATACCAATTCCTAGAATGAACCCAGCCCCATGTAGGAATAGTAGGATGTATTCTTATCTATTCAATACATTTTAATATTCGATACATTTTAATATGAAAATTCTACATTACTGTTTTTATTTATTATTTATAGAGAGCAAGAGAACAAGGCAGCGTTCAATGCAAACATAACAGGCACAGCCTCTGCCTCTGGGAACACACAGTCAAAGACAAATGCAAACATGATTACCCCCAAACCCAAACCAGGGGACTCAGCCCTCTTGCCATACTAAAGTAGAACATGACCAGGGTAAAGGAGACTGTCCTTGCTGAGGTCTGATCCCATTCAACGTCAGTGATATGACCACTGAATTGTCTGGTCAAAATACAAAAAGAGGAGTCTTCAACCCGAGGGTAATAAAGAAAGAAAGCATTGATGTATGTACTGTTCTTATAGTAAGTCCTCTTCACTGAAAATAGCAATCAGTAAATAAATTACTAATTGAAGGAAGACCAAAGTTCTTCACATTCAGAGATGAAACTAAACTAAATCTAACTCAATAATGGAATATTTCTGGAAAGCTTTTTACCCCAGGACCTTGCTTCTAACACGGTACCTAGCATGTAATAGGTGCTCAAGAAATATTCACTTTTATTTCCACAAACTATCTTTATCCATTTTAAAATATCCTTCTTGTTTCTGCTACTTCAGAGATGAAATAAAATCCAGAGAGCTGAACTAATGGTTTAAAATCAGGCGCACCTGGGTGGCTCAGACAGTTAAGCATCTGACTCTTGATTTTGGCTTAGGTCATGATCTCAGAGTCCTGAGATAAAGCCCTGCGTTGGCTCTGCACTCAGCATGGAGTCTGCTTGAGTTTCTCTCTCTCCCTCTCCCTCTGCCATTCTCCCCACTTTCTCTCTCTCTCTCTCTCTCTAAAAATAAATAAATAAATCTTTTAAAAAATATCATAAAGATCTCTCCTATTGGGGGTGAGGCATGCGAAAGGAAAACCAAGTTAACAAACCTGTACTCAGCCTTACACTCCAGCACGGTTTTGGGCATTTCACAGGTGCTTGATAAATAGTGATGGATGGAGAACCACATCTTTTCTATGTGCTAGCAAATGTAAGAATTTACATCATATTCGGTCTTCTTCCACTCCTATGAAAAGTAATCTCTGAGCCCTCATTCTGGTAAGAGAGAATCTGGGGTAGAAGAGGCAGATAATGCATTTTCCTCGGAAAAAAACCGGATTGGCCAGCACTTCCTATGAAAATGAAAACAGACCCAATACATGGGAGTGGTATGGAATGGTTCATGAGTTCACTCAAGTTTTATAGCAGGGCCCCGGCTCAGTAGTCCGAAACTCTATGTTGAATCTAACAGGAAAAATTTAACAAGACCCTACTGAAACAAAGTCCTACATTAGAGCTAAAACCCGAAAGCCAGACAAGACTGGTAGAGATTTGCCAGGTCACGAACGCATGTGACCTCATGCCCCACGTTTCCTCTCCAGCTGATTTACTCATTTTTAGTCTCCTATTTCTTTGAGCGCCATAACCAATTTGGTGTCTTTCATCTGGAACCTAGAAATCGCTGGCCTTGGAACATCAGACCAAATTGTTAAGCTGAATTGAACTGAATTTTTTAAAAAGCATTTTTCTGAGGGGACTTCTATGCCCTTATACACTAAAGTGTGTATACGGTGCAATTCTCTACATTACCCTATGAATGTAAAGAGAAGTTACCTAACAGGCCGAGCAGTTTCAGGCCATGGAAGGGAGGAAAGATTGTTTATGGGGGATGAAGAAGGCCTCTGTGAGAGAAGAGACTTAAAGTTTAAAAAGGTCAGATGGGGGGGAAAGAGCACATATAAGGCATAATCTTGGGGGATTTCACAGGTTTTCAGATCCACAGAATGGTTATTACAGCCTGCAGCACATTTTATCAGGAAAGGAAGTGGATAAGGGACAGCAGGAGAAAGTAAAAAAGAGTTTGTTCAGTGAGGATTATTTGAAGGGTCTTAAGACGTCTTCAGAGACGACTGCGTGAAATCTGGTGAATAATGAAAATGATACCTTTTACCAAAAGAAAGGGAATGTCCCAGATTACATTATCAGTTGACAGTGGAAGAAGCACATGTGTAAACGTGTGTGCACATGCGTGTGTGTGCGCGTGTGTGGTGTGTGTGTGTGTGTGTGTACTGGGCTCTCGCCTTAAGTTACTAGTTGCACATATTAATCAAAGAGCACTACCCCTCCATCTGCTTTTCTTTTACCTGTCCTACTTTGTGTCAATTTCCTTTCTCCTCCCCCACACCCCTTGCTTCACTGTTCTTCTTTAAGACATGGGATGGGGATTTGTCAAAGTCAATGAGCACTTTATTACAGTGAGAACGTTCCGTAATGAACAATTCAGCAATTTAATGAGATTCTGTAGATTTGTCTCCAGCCTGTCCATCAAGATTCACTTCTATAAAGCACCCTGACACTAATCCTCTGGCATACCCAATCTTCACCCAAGGCTGAATATTAGATTCTTCCCCGGTATATTGCATTACTAGTATAACCTCAGCAAAAATGATGAACTTAACTATACTTGAGGCAATATAGCTGGTCTGATTTAATTTTTCTCTATTGGGTTGAGTATGAGGGAATTACGTATTTACTAAGATAAAGCAAAACAGTTTCTTATTGCCTGCTGAATGCCTAAATTGATCATATTTATGTGAGTGTTTTAATTCTTTCTTGAGGACCAGGTACAAAAAAGATATTGCCTGCAGCAGAAAGCAGTTTTTAAAATTCTACATGATAATATCGGTAACCTTTACAGAGGCAATTACGATAACTCTTAAGTAGACAGTATGGAATTTTTTTTTGGATACTCAGACATCTACACATTACCTCTCTGGCAGTCCCTTCAACCATGCCACAAAAAGAGAAGCCACAAGGATGACTGGCTCAGATTTCAATTCAGTTAGAAATAATTAAATGCAGAATTCATTCCAAGTCTTTCTTTTTCCCTTTGGGAAGTGAAGAAAAATTTGGCAACCTCCCAATTTGAATTGACCAGAAAGTGTTGATGATTTGTGTTTATAGGGGAGAACCACAGATAATTAGAATTCATACCAAAACTCATCCTCACCAACTTTTGACCTCTGCATGAACAAACATTATCAGAAATACCTAAGAAGGAGAAAGAAAATATGGCTTATTCTTTTTCCTTATATTTTCTTTGTCAAGACAGTGTGGGATACTGTAGAGATGAAGACAGGTGTCTGCAGACTTGGATTTGTAGGCCGGCTTTGCTCTGTAACTCTAAGCAAGGCAATGAAGCCCTGTTTTGCTCATCTGGAAGATGGGGTGATAACAACTATACTTCAAGCCCATTGTGACAATAAGTCAGTAAGTTTGCGAAGAGTCTGGGTCCTGGAAGGCCCTCACTACACCATTAGCTCTTAGTATCCTCAGTGGTGGAGCAACAGTAAAGAAGGAAGTTGCTGATTAATGTAAATAAAGAAAGAAATAAGGGAGAAAGACATCAGGAAAATCATCAGTGAATAGAGTCAGGTGTTAGATAATTAACAGCTCCCTCTGCCTGTTCTGGCCAGAGTTAGAGTACTCTCCAAATGTCATTTGCTAAGATACCAGGAATTCACCGTCCCATCAGCTAACAGAAGACTTCATATTTTCTCTTATATTCTGTATATAAATAGCATGAACATGTATATAAATAAAATATATGTCTTATTTGTTTCTACTTCATGTGTTCTGTATATAAATAAAATGATCGTGAAATCTTGAAGGTATAACAAAATGGCCAGCCAGCATTCAGAGTGAGGTGGTTGACATAAAACGAAAGTGATAAGATGGGCTCTGTTTCCCAAGGCACCAGGTGGATTGTTCAAGCAAAGCCAGTGAGGATGAGTAGAAAAGGATTTAAACTGAGTAATCAACTTGAAAACACAAAACATCCTTCCATCCCCTAGACAAAGGATATTCGGAAAGAATGCTATGTCAGGCGAAAGGCAGGGCTTAGGAAAATGGCAATGAATGCAGAATTAACTAAAGAGGGAGATTTTTCCACTGCTGTGCAAGAAGAGCTTCGTTTCATTTAAGGTCCCAGCTGCTCTCGGCCGCAACAAAGAAATGTTTCAGAATCTATTCTGATTCCATTGGTCTTAAATAATATGCATATATGGTGCTTGACAATCCGTTTTTCTCACGTTCAGTTTAAGAAACTATCTTTATCAGGAGAAAGAAATTCTTGACTCTTTCTGATGTAACTCCCCGCCTTAGGGTTTTAGGAAGCCGCAGCAAGGGTCTGAAAAACCACACCTGTGACAGCCCGAGTTAAGCTGAGCAGAGGCTGAGGCCTCCGACCCTCAAGGGCTGGTGTTCTCCAATCACTTGCCCATCAAGGGAGCATGACTTCTGACTTTGGCTCTGAGGAGAACCAAACCAGACAAAATAGTTATCATTGTTCCTCAACTGTTCAACTTTTAACCATTCCGTGCCTTTTCCCTGCCACAAGAAGACCCATGCAGAGCGCCCTTACCTGCCAGATCTGCTCTTCACTCAGGGAGGTCAGGCGGTCGCTCTTCAGAACCTCCTGGAGCAGACAATAAGGAAGCGTTAGAACGTCTTCTGGGCGACTCTTCAGGAGCTCAGAGAGATGTTTCACTAAGAAATCGATCACTGCCTTCTCCAGCAAAGTGAGGTTAAAGAGGTCAGCAAGTCTGTACAGATCCAAGTAATTAAAGCTATTTAATTCCTGGGTGCCAAAAAAATAAAAATGGGGGGAAAAAAGATCTCTTAGAAGTTAATCCAAGAAAGAGCAGGCAAGAAATTCAGACTGACTCACTAAGGTTTGTATGACAGGAGTGGGGGAAATGGGACTCCACTGATAATGTTAAAAAAAAAAAAAATCTCTTAATTATGAGACTGGCAGAGAACTGCATGTTCTAGAATTCATCATTTCTCCTTACTTTGCCCCTCTTAAAACACATGTATTTAAAGACATCTTATTTTTTTAAAGATTTTTTTATTTATTTCTGAGAGAAGGAGCGAAAGAGAGCACAAGTGGCGGGGGAGAGGGAGAAGCAGGCTCCCCGCTAAGCAGGGAGCCCAATGTGGGACTCAATCCCAGGACCCTGGGATCATGACCTGAACTGAAGGTAGACACTTAACTGACCCAGGTGCCCTAAAGACATTTTAATAAAGGAGTTGAAAGGAGTTTCTGACTTCACTGACTGAAATGTTACTTTGCAACTTTTCAAGAAAATTTTACCAATGAAGAAAATTGATTTTTCTACCCTTTCCATATTTTACAGCTCTCAGGCGAGAAGTTTATTCAACTACAGAAAATGTGAGTTCAGGTAAAGTAGGAGTCGTGATTAGATGACACAAACTACATGAAGGCAGACTGACTCTACTTTTTCTAAAACTTCAAAGGAAGTATGTCTTCGAGTAAAGACAACCCATCCTGACTTGAAATTAAAACACAGATTTTTTACATGTAAGGTCTCAGGAAATGAAGGAATCTCACAGAAAAGATTCCTGTCCTGAATAATTCTATATTGAACCTGCCTAAGATGAGCAATTTATAATTGTTCTTTATTTTTTGTTAGCCTCAAACATTCAGACAACTAATGACAATCTTTCCTTCTTATTCAAAGAGTTCCTGTAGCAATGCTCATTTTGGGGGATTTTCCCTGTCTCTACCAGTTCTCAAGTTCATAGCCATGGCTCTAAAATAATGCACCCAGAGAGCCAAGACGCCTGTGGAAACTTTCTTTAATTCTGCAAGAATCACAGTGGGCACACAGGCCTGATGATAGAAAACTTACCTATTTCAAGTAGAATGAAAGTCCTGTTTCCCGTTTTTATTTTTTTTTTTTAGATTTTATTTTGTTATGTTAGTCACCATACATTACATCATTAGTTTTTGATGTAGTGTTCCATGACTCATTGTTTGCATATAACACCCAGTGCTCCATTTAATACGTGCCCTCCTTAGTACCCATCACTGGGCTAACCCATCCCCCTCCCCTCTAAAACCCTCAGTTTATTTCAAAGAGTCCATAGTCTCTCGTGGTTCATCTCCTGCTCCGAATTCCCCCCCTTCATTTTCCCTTCCTACTATCTTTTTTCTTTTTTTTTTAACATATAATGTATTATTTGTTTCAGAGGTACAAGTCTGTGATTCACCAGTCTTACACAATTCACAGCTCTCACCATAGCGCATACCCTCCCCAATGTCTATCACCCAGCCACCCCATCCTTCCCACCCCCCACCTCTCCAGCAACCCTCAGTTTGTTTCCTGAGATTAAGAATTCCTCATATAAGTGAGATCATATGATACTTGTCTTTCTCTGATTGGCTTATTTCGTTTAGCATAATACCCTCTAGTTCCATCCACAGTGTTGCAAATGGCAAGATTTCATGGGGTTTTTTTTGATGGCTGCATAATATTCCATTGTGTATATATATATATATATATATATATATATATATATATACCATATCTTCTTTACCCATTCATCTGTTGATAGACATCTTGGCTCTTTCCATAGTTTGGCTATTGTGGACATTGCTGCTATAAACATTGGGGTGCACATACCCCTTCAGATCACATTTGTATCTTTTCCCCCATTTTTAACTTAAAAATTTTAATATGTGAGCAGTATTTTCCACTAGCTTAAGGAGTGCAGAACACCATCTGATAGCTAATTCACTGATCTATTTAAGTAATTTTCAACATATTTTCACCTTTTCCAGTTATCCAAGAATATTAAGAACTCTTTCTAAAATACTTATATTCTGTTTGAATGTATTTGTTTCTAGAATATTTGAAAGTCTAAAGGAATAGGTTCTAAATCTGTGCTGTCCAGCATGGGTAGCCCCTAGCCACAGGTGGCTACTGAGCACTTAAAATATGGCTAGTCTGATTTGAGAGATTCTATAAGTGTTAAAGATACACCAAATGTCAGGAAGAAGAAAAACAGAATGTAAAATATCTCATTAATAATTTTATGTTGATTATACATTAAAATGATAGTCTTTTGGATACAGCAGGTTAAATATGTAATTATAATTAATTTCACCTGTTTCTTTTTACTTTTTTTAAGGTTTTATTTGACAGAGAGAGAGAGAGAGAGAGCGAGCACAAACAGGGGGAGTGGCAGAGGGAGAAGCAGATTCCCCACTGAGGAGGGAGCCCAATATGGGACTCGATCCCAGGACTCTGGGATCATGACCTGAGCTGAAGGCAGACGCTTAACTGACTGAGCCACCCACGTGCCCCTCTTTTTACTTTTTTTAAATGCAGCTACTAGAAAATTTAGAATGACATATGTGGCTCCCATTATGTGCTGTTCTACTGAATAAAATGTTAATGAAGAAATTGTAAAAACAGCTCTTTGAGTAACAACTGCATCCTCATCACGGCTACCTGATTTATTATTATTATTTTTTTTTTACTTTAGATTCTATTTCTTTGGATGGGAGATGATGCTTTAATTATATTCTAACAGGAGTCAAGCTAGATGACGAATCAGCATAAGATTCTGGCTCGTAATAGCTCTATATGCCAACACAATCGAAAAGGAGTACATACTTACCTTTAAAATGAAGTTTACTACAGATGACCACTAAAATGCAATACAACGCAAACATCTAAGAGTCCACTCACAGCCATTCAATCAAAATATCCTGGCTTCCCATTCAGCAGATTTTATCAAAGGAATACTGAAGATTTTAACTCTAGCGACAATTATTTCAAATAATGTTTAAACTTGTTCTCCAAATCTTACTTTTTAGGGTTGGTAAATTTTATTCTGGGAGTACAGAACATGTCACCCTTGTTTCCATAAAGGACTTTAGGACCAATTCCTAGGGATGAATGTTCTTTCTGGTCAGTACATCTATGAAGCAAGTTTAACTGCTCAGGGTCCTGAATATAACTTTGGCATCCCGGTAAATCACTCTGCAGGCCCCCAGAAGCGTGATGGGTGAAGTCAGGGTGGTGTCAGTGCCTTTCAAATACCCCAGGCACATGTCCAAGGCATGGTTCAAGGTCCTGAGGCCATGCCCAGCAGCACTGCACGGAGAGGCTACCATGTGCAGAAACGGAAACAGCTAAGCTCCGCAAAGTTAAAGGTGGACAGGCGGAGCCCAGCAAAAATGTTTTTATCCTCACTTGTTTTCCTGCCAAAAAGTATGTACAACTACAAGTTTGGGAATGAATTATGTAGCAGCAATCAAATATTCTTTATTAAGCATCTTTATTTCCTATTTGATTAGATGCCTGCAGCTTAAAAGCAGGCCGATTTAGAACTGCGGAGAACCCGAGAATTAATTTACCTTAATTGTGGTTCTCTTCTGCTGCATTTCTTTTGAAGGTAGTCATTGAATGCCTGCTTCCCCAGTCCTGAAATGTTTTAATTTCCTAAAGGTCTAATTTTATATAACCCCCAAATGCAAACTAACGAAGTATTTCATATTAGTAGAGAACTAAGAAGCTAAATGGACAAGTGTCAGCATCTGTCTGAACAGCAAAAGGGAACTGAACTAAGACATATATTCGTGTACAAGAGAAACATCCGCTAAAAGTCTACTCCCTATCTTTACCTTTTCATTTCTCTTCTCTTCTACTTAAAAATATAATTTCCCGGTGCACCTGGGTGGCTCAGTCAGTTGAGTGTCTGACACTTGATTTGGGCTCAGGTCATGATCTCAGGGTCGTGAGATTGAGCCCCAAGAAACAGGTGTGGTGCCTGCTTAAGACTCTCTCTCTCTCCCTGTCCCTCTGCCTCTCCCCACCCCCAAATAAATAAATAAAATCTTAAAAAAAAAAAACCACCATAATTTCCCCAAATCTCCAGTGCTTTCTCTACATGTCAAAGGTTTCCACTCCCTTTGCCATGCATACTTAGCACCTCAGTAGTTAAACTGTATAAAGCAGGGAGATCAGGGAAAAAAGATAAATCATCTTCAGTGAGATCATGATGCCACAACATGCATTCCTCTTGTCGGCGCTTTGTGAGCTTTAAGCAAATTCATCACTTCTTGTCCTTTTGGCTAAGACCATGTGTAAGCAAAATAATACCAATAATGCTGCTTTTAAAGATTCTCATAAATGTGATGTGGGGAGGTGGGAAGCAATGGTTAAATTACATTAAATGCCCACCTATAATACTGTGCATGGAAGAAAATAATCACTGTTATAAAAATAGTGCCATTATGTTTCATTATAAAAAGTAATAAATGTTTATTCCATAAAATTTAAAGTGTGGAAAAGAAAACAAAAACCATTCATATTTCACCATGCAGAGATAATCACTATTAATGTTTTCATATACATATTCTAGATTTTTTTCAAAAAATCTTTTTTATTTATAGAGAAAAAGAAAGAATAATTGTATTCAGGGACAGAAAAAACCATCAGCAGCCATAGGCACTTGGAGGCAACCCACACTGATGAAGAGCAAAGGTCGTACATACAACCAAGTCAAACTAGTTCAAATCCAGCCCTAATACTTACCATTGTCCATGACCTTGGTCAATCACTGAACCTCTCCCATTGTTCCTCAATCACAAAATGGAGAGTTCAACCAGCTCATAGGGTGGTCAGGGGGATAATGAATGAAAAGCTCTTACCACATACAACTTGGCACATGAGAAGTAGACAGTACATTTGGTGGGCAAGGAATAATAAAGTATATTTGAGCATTGTTGTTTGGTATCCATAAACCCTGATTCAACACTAATGC